TGTAGGGAGTTAATGGCGCCAACCTCTGCCTGCGCTGCCGAGACCTGCTCTTGGTCTGACTCCGTCTCCCTGGCCAGCTGCTCTTCATATTTCTTCATATCGTACTCCAGCTCGGCTGCCAGCTGCTTGTCCACAGCAAAGAAGTCTTTGATTTCATTTCGGTAATCCTGCATCATTTCCTGGAGCAATAAGGAATGTTTAAACTCTTTCAGAAATCTCTCCTGACTACTGATTCATGTCTCCATTCAGATCACAGCTGCTTTAAGTGCAAAAGGAAATACCAGTTGGTAGAGCAGAGGTGTTTTTAACAGACTAAGAGTTTTGATTCCAATTTGTACTTCAGAACATGAAAAAGCTTTCCAGCATTCAAGCTTTCTGCCCACATTCCACTGAGGAGGCTCACACGTAACACACTCTGAGATCCTTATCTAAAATCCCTCCACCTCCTACATTATTTAACACAGTGGCAGTGTCACAACATCATATGCCTTCTAAATTTCCTTCTAAGAAGGGTGTTCGTTCCATTACTGGTTGCACATCTAACACATTAACTCAAGAGAGGAAAAAAAAAACACAAGAAGAAAACACTTCCCTTACCCGTAGGTAGTTCATAAGGTCCCTAAGAGCTGGGATCCTCTTCTGCTCCATTAAAGACTTCAGTGATGTGATTATTGGGATGATATTTTCTACAAAGTTCTTCTTTTGAACCTTTGAACAAGGCAAGAACAGTTACACGATGCGATAAAAGAGAAGCCACTCTGTGGTTAGATGAATGGCCAACATGAGAGGAGTTACCACTCCACAGCAAGGAAACTACCACAATTAAGCCTGCTCTTACGCTGCACTTGTGTACACGGGCTTTTAACCTTAGTGGAATCTTTCAGGATAGATCCCCAAGCCAGTCAATTCTCACATTGAAGGCAAATTGCCAAAAGGTGCACCAAAACACATTGTTATGCTCAAATGCTTTACCAATAAGAGATCCGTGGAACAAATTTAGCCTAGCATAGCTTCACTGCTTCAGAGGAAATGCATTTAGGATCACTCCCACTGGCCCCTCAAGTACAAGCAAACTTCACAAATCTAGCCTTAATGTTTCGTTCTTACAACACACAGTGCTTCCACTGGTGCCCTCAGATCAGAGTGGGCCTACAGAATGGACAATGACAGTATGTCATTGGCATCGCTGTGATACTTGGACAATTTCTGCATGAGTTTCTCCATCACAGAAAAGTAAAATTTCTCCCAATACAGTGGCCAACCCACTTCCCACACCAGATCAAGTGCCATTCACCTGCGAGATGAGCTTTTTTTGTGCCACCTGCATGACAGCATTGGCCATTGCCATTTCGTCTTCATCGGGCTGAATGTCTTCATCGGGTTTTGATCTCATAGTTGATAGCTTGATTTCCTTGCAGCTAAGGACTGCAAACGTATCCGAGAGCAGCTCACTGGCTTCCAGGTCCAATGGAAGGACCTTATCCACGAAGCATGCTGGAACACACAGGGGAAAAATAAGAGGTACTTTACTGGAAAAAGCAGTGCCGGTAAAGACGGGAAGACAACACGGCTGGATTGAGAGCCTAATGGTTTTATACAGACATCAGTTCTTTGCCAGACTTTTAAAGACAGATCCTTACCTAGTATGCTGTGGCTGATCTTTGTTGTAATGCTGAACCTCTGCTCGTCTGTAAAGTGGTCTAACAGGAACTTGTAGATGTGCATCCTTTTTTCTTTGTTATCTTTTCCCTTCAGAGAGAAGAGATTCTTTGCCCTGGTAACAAGATGTTTTACCAGGGCCAAGTCAGATCATGCGAAATTGCAGAAATAATAAGACTTTAAATCAGCAAGGAATATTTGAATGCCACTTTCAAGACCCATAAACCTGTTAGGATACCACACAGTCCCAGAAATTACATGCAAAAAGTCCTCCCAGAAGTGTCACGGGGAAGACAGGACACTTAATTTAACACTATTTCCCCTAGCTGTTTCCCCCCTACTGCACACATAATTACAAAGCGCCATGAGCGCTTTGCTGCAACCAAAAGCTGCATGGCCAGACAGCCCGTCATTTAGCAATAAGGAGATACAAATGTGCTCAACTGACCGCATGCTCTGGGGGAACCTGTTGTACTTCTCATGTTTCTCATAGCTATTGAAATGGAAGATGCACTCAATGAAGTGTTGGGAGAACATTACTGGATTCCTCTTCAGCAAGAGATGCACCAAGCAGAACTCTCCAAACCTGGCAAGGAGGAAAAGAAAGGACTTATCATCAGGTGGCTTCTAAAAGCCACCCCTGAAATACAGCGTGGGGTCACAAACCATAAAGCAGGAGGATGGTTTTCCTCTGCCTAGTCTCCCTCAATATAACATTCAATTCTTGCCCAGCTCCATCAGGGCTTGAACAAGGAGATCACCTTATTGACTTTGAGCCTTTTTTCATCCAGAAAGAGATAGATGTTTTCAGCATCCACAATACTACTACCTTTTTTTTTTGCCATGAAAGTAAACAGAGACAGAAATAAATTTGAACTTGAATCCAGGAACTAAACTTTCATTATTTAAATAAGTTCCATTGTGGCCAAGATACTTACAGTACTTTGCAAAAAGTTAATCACCAAAAGTCCTGCAAGAGCTGCAAGTCAACTTGAGGAACATGGTTTTGTCTAGATGCAGTCACTGAATGCAGATGCAAAGAAAAAGGCTCCCAAAGAAATAGCACCATGTTCCTTAGCTAAAGCTCTAGGAACCTGATGTTGCAATGTCACCATCTACTGGAAAGACATTTTTACATATTAAAAACTCACTGAAGTGAAAAGAAAGCGTGAATATCCACTAGCAAGCAATGATAGGTTGATGGCCCAGGAAACACCAATCTTCAGACGGACTGTTTCAGGTAGAAGGAAGCAGCAAGCCGTCCAAGCCTCCTCTGCATCCAGCATCCCCGCACGACCTCCCATCCTTAGAGAAACCTGCCCCGCTCATTTCTCACGTAACACAGCAGCCTGAGGCTGAGAAACCTACAAAATCTTTATAAACATGCACTTAAAGCCAGTGTACATAATTCCTCTTACATGTCCAAGTATTAGAAAATGAGGTAGAAGGTTTAAAAAGACAAGGTGTGCCATATAAGAAAAAAGAGAATATTTAATCCTATTCCTAAAACAAAACCAGTACTTAAGACAGAGCCTATTAGAAAACCATGAGAAAGATTTCATAAAGGCTTGTTTCAAAAACTCCTTTTTTCCTGGATAACAGAGTCAAAAATAGAGCAGAGCTGCATGTTTTCAAGGCAGCCAAGAACACACAGGTCGCTACCTTGGGACCTTCAAATGACTTGCAAAGAGGCTCACCACTCTTTGCTACCACTGCAGACCCCAAGGCGTGAACAACTGTACGAGTGAAGAGGTTAATGTGAGAATCATCTGTCGAAGGTGCAAGACTGAGACTCCTTTGACTACATCTCTGATCTTCAACTCCATCGTGATTTTACGGATATTTTACCTGGCAATATCTGGATTTGGATCCACCAAGACACTGACAAAACGGAAGAAGAGACAGTCTTTCCATTTCACAAACTCTTCCTGTAAGAAATCAGCAGACAATAAATTATCAACCCGAATCAGGAAAAACCTAGTGTGAACCTTTGAACTGTGGTCAGGACGGTATCTGATGGAGCCTAGCAGAACGTACACTGGGAAAATGAGCAAGCTATACAACTTCAGTGGGAGGTACACAAAAAGACAACAATGTTTTGGAGGATGTTTTAAACAGCATAGATGCCACAGCAGCGAACATCTAGGTTTACCACAGGTATCAATAAAAAAGTAGAAACATGAAAAATGTGTTCTATCCCAAGGCACACATGCTCTTCAACACTGTTCTCAGAGCCAAATGCACTCCAAATCTGCCTTGGTTGGCTTCATGCGAACATCGGGAGGGTAAACATCTTGAGCTTCTCAACCTTTACGTTTTTAGAACAATAAGCAGAGACAGTAGGAGAAAAAGGTGCCATGATGCTTGTTATATTCATTCATATAGGAGTGAATTTGAAGGGAATTCAAAGAAACAAAGAGAAGACAAGAAAAGAGGTAACCATTGACTAAAAATAATCTCATTATCCAACGGTGTTAAGTGTCCTTGATATGATTTCTGCCTGGCTAGCAAAAAAAACGCAGTAACAAAATACATAGTTTAAAGTCTTCTCAATTAAGTGTAGATTAATGAAGGTACCAGCAACACAGCCACCGGTCAGGTTGCCAGTATCCAGCACAATGGAGGTACTTGCGGCAGGTTGTCAGATACATGCTTAAGACCTTTATTTACCTGCAGAAGGTTGGTAAGCAGGATCAGCGTCTGCTTACGGATGAAGGGATTTGGGTCCTTCAGGCACAACGAGATGTTGGGAATGTATCTGTCCACCACGGATGTGTAGCGGATACACAGATCGCACATAACAATGACAACGTTATTGCGAACAGCCACATCATGCGACACCTCCAGTTCTCGAGCTAGAGCTGCAATGCATTTCTTTGCCAGATCCTCATGCTGTAAACACAATTTACCTGTGAAACAGGGACAAGGCTGTCAGTGCTGTGAATATATTCTTCTTCCCAACCACCACAGCCCAGCTTACTGCCTCCTTTGAGTCCAATATGAGCCAAGAAAGGAATCAGGAAGTAAACAGAGGAATAAACAAGAAACACATGCTGAAACTTGATGAGCAATCTGCACGATCTCTCAAAGAAATGATACTTCAAGGAGTTCTTCCAAACTCCTCTTAGATCTATAGTGTGGGTCTCTATGCCAAACTCCCTCCTTCACAGAGAACTATTTCTGTGTACAGGGTATTATTCAAAGCAGCTAAAAAGAACAGCCCCAGCTGTCATCAGCATAGCAGGGAGACACCCACCTCCAAGGGCATCACTAAACCAACTTAAAATAAAATAGCCTGCATTCTAACAGTACTTCTCCCTGTTCCTAAGCTCAGTACAAAAGTATTAAGCTTCCCAAAGCAGTTAAGGAAAGAATACTACTGTCTATCTGCAAGAGAAGAGACATGTTCCTAATGATGGAGGTACTACAAAACCAGAACTTTCACTTAGTATTCTCCCTAATACTGGAGATGCAGATTTGACCTGTATTCTCTCAAAGAAGCTCTTCATTCATATTGAGGAGAACAAGAAACTATGTGCAGTCATTCTGCTCTAAACCACGCCAAAAGCGCCAAGTTTTCTTCATCCTCTGTTGAGCACCTTACTACAGGTAAGGTGATCCTTCAGCCAGACAGCAACCAACTCCCAGTACAAGGACAGTACTCTTCTGAAGGACGTTGCTAATTATTAATCACTACTAATGCATTAACCACCTTGAGAAGCAGTCACATAGATGGCAGTATTTCTGTGGTTTGTACTACTTGTTCCCATGGATATTTGCATTGCTAAAAGCTATGAGCTGAGGCAACGCAAACATTGAGCGCTGCGGCTATCCATTACAACTGACACAGCTTTTGAGCAGAACTTTAACCGGAAAGGGTGAGAATTGGATACACGAGGGCACGCTTCGACGGCAGGACGGCACTTACCTAAGGTAATGAATGCATGAGCTCTGACCACGGGAGGCATGGCTAATCCTCTGATCTGGGACAGTGGCTGAGAAGCTGGAATTTCCTCGCCATCTGGCAAACTTGACACTAGGGAAGAACAGGTCAGGAATGAAAACACGCTTTTCTGGTAAACAGTGGTGTCTGTAAGTGCAAAATTAAAGGCAGTAAGGAGAAAGCCTCACATTGGTCCTCATCGACAGAAGAAGCCAGAATCGACTGAATCAAAAGAAAGATGCGTTTCTCCACTTTGGCTGGACACAGCTGTGCAGCCTCACCCAAGATGAAGAGGTGTCTCACCTGCAGAGAAAAAGCAACGCTGCAGTCAAAAGGCAATGGCTGAGCTGCAAATTAAGTCAGCAGGAGTCGGTACGGTACTTGTCCAAGAACAACTTAAAATTCCCTTCCCTTTCAAGAAGGCTGTGAGTAGAGAACAGAAGGTGAAGCTTTGAAACAGAAATGGAGTGTGTGTGTGTTTAATACGCTATAACCCTCACACATCTACTAATAATATTGAAATACACCTCAAAGCATTCTACATGTTTTACAGACTTATTTCTCAAACAGCTCATCTAAGAAGTATGAGTGGAAAAGCAAAGAAAAAAACCCATGTCGTTTTATTAAAAATACATAGGGAATCATATCCTTAAAGCAATCGCTGATGTATAAAACTGTTGTATGCTCCCTGGCCCACAAATACCAGATTTCACTACAAGCTTACACACAAGGTGTGCACATCAGTATTTTCCTATGTAACACAGTTATTGGCATGAACTTTACGGAACACCAAACACCTACATCCTTTGAACAACCCGTGAAGGGGAACCAAACTTACCAAAAGATCTTCTTGCAGCTGCTCTGCTCCATCCTCTTTAAGGACTATATTAGAAATATAGCTTTCACAGGTGGATACTAAATCTCCACACACCTGGTTGAGCAGCTCCTGTTCCGTAATGAAACAAAATTAAGTCGGCAATTTATTAATTAGACAAAATGTGGCTCTAATATGTGTCCACACACAAATCCCTAATCTGAAAGTCCTTATATGCTTTTAATAATCTAGGTCCTGTTGAAATCAATCAGACAGTGCCTTAGAGCTTTAAAATTCTTCCTGCACATCAAAGAATGTGTACAAGTGTCAAAACACCTTGGAGAATCTGGCTTTTAAATGATCCACAGGCCTAAGTTTACTTCATGATAGAAATCAATTAAACAAAAAGGATTTAGGCGATTGTTCCACATGAATATCCAACACATTTGAGGTTGTCCGTATGAATTTTTAAATGTTGCTTGGAAAAATGCAGTTCAATTCAAATGAAAACATGATGCAAATTCCAAGGAGTGGAGAGGAAACAAAAAGCTAATCGTCCACCAGATTGTGATGAAAATAAAGCATTTTTCTTCTTCTACCGTCAAAAACTGGTAACATCAGAAACCAAATACATATACGTATGGCAGCTGAGCCATTAGAACTGCTAAAGTGACCGATGTACAGGAACATCTGCATTTGATTGTAAGCCAACATACTGTGATGACCGTACCTACAAGGCAGGAATTTCTGACTGTCAATGTAAAAAAACCAAACAGAAACCATCAATCCACCCTGGCTTCAGAAGCATGGAGTGTGCAGTTTTGCATACTATTTACTCAACTTTATTGGGATTCCTATTATAAAATAGTTGTCATCAATACTGAAAGAGAAATAGAACACATACACAAAGAGAAATCATTAGCAAGAGAGACCTGCATCAGTTTTAGCTTCTTTGCGACTGTGCTCAGGCCGAGATCTCTATTTTACCAGCAAAAGATAGCCCACCTTCTCACTACAGAAGTGGAACAAACCTCTGGCATAAAACAAATGGGGGCAGAAAAAAGAAATGCGAAAATGATGTGTTATTAACTCACTGTTTGGTCCTGTGAAAGAGGTCTAGAAAATATGTGTATCTACAGCAGCTCTAATAGAGAATAATCAGAGCTTGTAGTACAAACCTATAGCTTCGAACTGGACCAAGCCTGAGAAATAGCTGATATCATAAAGGCACTTGCAATATGTCTCCTTTAGGAATTCTGTAAACTCTGACAGAAGGCCAATGCAAGGTATTTCAAGTGCAGGGGGGGGGAAATCCTTCTGAAGAAAGAAGATTTCTTACAAGTCCATCCTTAGCTACAGCATGTTCTCCAGCACAACTGCAGTAAAGCAAGTAAGAGAGCTGAGCAGAACAGACTCAAGTCGCTGTTGGAGTCAGATCCTCTTTGTTTAGAGACCTAATCAACCGACAGACTGGAGACTGAGGCTGCCTTCAAGAGACAGCCCTCCTAAGTGTGAAATAAGCTATTTTAAAAGATATATTTTAAGTCACACCTGTGCCTCCTCCGGCACATCTGCATACGCATGGCAGAGCTTCTGCAGAGTTTCTACAGCTGGGCTAATCACCTCCAGGGGACACTGAGACTCCCTCAGCCAGCACTTGATATTCTCTGAAAATGAGATCACACACATAAAATGAGCATTTTCTAAGCTTATCAAGCAATAACTGTTGAGATGGGAGGCGTGAATCCTGCCTTCCCCTCTGCAGTTTCTCAGGGCCACTCACCAATCAGCCTCTTGCAGGTGCTTTTAGGAAGGTGCTTTGCAACATGACCGATGACACACAGTATATGTCCTGTAGTATCAACGCTCGTGTTTTGCTGCCTGAAAAACAGTAGAGCAGACAAACTAACATTGAACACCACCAAATCACGGTAGAAAAATCCTTTCATCTGGGATATGCATTATTAAGGCAGACCTGTCAACCCAAATGAAAGCTCAAAAAGCTTAAGGTAAGAGTTGGTTACTGTAAAAATCTGCGGGCCATTGCTTGCCTCCTAGCTGGAGAACTGATTGCCTGAATAAAGAACAAAGCAGCTAAAGAGCAATCTGCCTGCGGCAGGATAGAAAGCCCTCACTTGCTTTGTTCCTCCTCTTCCCCCCCCACCTCTTTCCTGCAGAACGGAGGATGGAGTTCACAGCACACATATACCTGCTGACATTGTCCCAGGATTCAATGATCTTGGAGTAATCCAGCTTGGGTGAAGAACCTGCCACCTTAGCAAGCAACATCCAAGCAGGTACAGCATGCTCCGTTTCCACGTGAGACATGACATTATTAATGAAAGTGGAGGTGAACTTATTCTGTCTGGACCACATATGAAAAGCTTTGTTGAAGTAACGGCTGCAAGGAAAGAAAAGAAAAGGAAAGTTAAAGGAGGAGTAAACAAAACACTTGGGTCTTAGACACTGGCAGTAAAATCCAACATCCCTGTCCAGGATACACTGGGCAACACAACAAAGCCGCTGTCGCTTGACATTCCCACTACTTGGAGTACGTAGGGATTTCTACTACGTATTTTACTAGCAGCGTTTTCAGTCTTTCGGTTCATAATCCTGCCATGCTACAGGGATGGCATACAAGCATGGACATGCTGCTCTGTGTCAGTAAGATAGAAGGTCCACCTGATAGCATGACAAATCAAGAAAATATAATTTCAGCAATCTGTAACCAAGACTTTCCAGTAGTTGTTATTTAGTACCCATAATGGGACAGGACACAGTAATGTTAAGGCACCATAACTTGCTCATTTTTCTATTTAGTTACCTACTTCACGTTGAAAGAGTTGTGAGATTTATCAAGCTGCAAGGTACTCTAAGGTCACAAAGAAGAAGATGCCATGAATCTGCAAACTATGTTATAAAATAGCCCAAATTAGAACATCGACAGCTTCACAGATTGGCAAGGCAGCACAACCAGTATCTCATTTTCTATTTCTGAGCTATTATGCCCTGTTGACTAATAAACATACAGCTGTCTTTAATCAATGTTGTGTCCTTGTCATACTGTGTGTCATCCCATTTCTTCTGCTTCTTCCCACAGCATTCTGCAAAAGGCAGAATAATTCTATTTGTCATAAGACAAGTAACATATTGTACATCAGAATTAATAAAAGGCGATGTTCTCCTTTCTTTATATATCCTCTCTTACTTCTGGCATCAGAACACCTCCATTTGACTTAAATATTCATGCTGCTATCAACACATCAAGAACAGCATGCAACACTCCTGTACATGAACACATGAGTTCAGGGAGAGAGCACAGGTAACAAGAGCAGCAAGTGAAAATACTTGACAGAAAGGAAAACCACACTCTTCTCACCAGCTGCCAGCTTGTCCATGCTCTACAGCCCTGCTGTCCCCGGAACGGGCAGAGCAACGCAAGCCCCTCACAACATGATAGCTTCCATCTCTAGCAGTAATATGCACTTATACTGACTGTTTCAAGCAAGGAATTCAAATAGCTTAAAAATACCCCACCAATAAATTTAGTTCCTTGTCCTTGCATGACAGACAGCATGTGCATTTAAACAGTATGTAAACTATGATACCTAATGGTCTGTTGTCTGGGAGTATAAATTACGCATCGGACAAAGGGCTGTTACAGAAAAGCAATCAGAACCCACAATGAAGGGAAAACTGCACTTACTTCAGCTCCTGGCTTTCTGAAGTCAAGAGGGTAAGGAGATCCCACGCTAGAGCCTGCTTTCCATCTTCACTCCTGAGTTTATTATAATATTTTATGTGTTGCAACAAGAGCTGATCAAGGCAATCCAAGGCTTTTTCTTGGACAGAACTTTCCGTGTCCATCACAACAGGCACCACTCCATTTAACCAGGCCTTCTGCACTAGAACGTTATCAGGCTGAGACTGAGAGAAACACACGTTGCATTAGAAACATTTTAAAATCATTATAGAATCCTATATGCATTGGTAACATCAGCAAAGGCCTAGTAACCTCTAGATTCAGCTACTACCTTGAAAATAAATTTTAATAAACCCCAGCATCCTGCTCAACTAGCACTGCAATGTGGCAGCATATGGGACAAGGGAACTTGTATCTCTGTGACACCACAAGGTATTTGATCGTATCTATGATCAAGCTACCTGGTGCTTCTGCTAAAGTACTGTAATACTTTGTTTTGAAACTCTATAAATAATTATACCAGTATCGCAATAAAGCTGTACAGCAGACGATTTAATGCTAAAAAAAAAAAGCTTTGCTTAATATAAACCCTACGCTCCAAGACTAAGTTACTAACCCTTTGTGAATAAATAGAAAAGAAGGAAAAATATTGCAGTGCTATCATCTACACATTACATCTTAGTAAAGTGATTCAGATTTTTTTTTTAACTTGAGAAGGCCAGCAACATAAACATTTTCTCCATGACACATAAATCAACAGCCAGGAAAATAAATGTTTCCAACAGTTGGAAGCATCCTACATAAATCACAAATATGTATAAGAGTGAATCAAGGCTTCCAAGTCAAAAGGTAATAAAAAAAATTAAAACACAGTCATAAAATGAAATTCACTGAACGAACAACTGACGTGTAACCAGATTTGTCTGTTTCCTCCTCCTTTTAACCCACAGTTCGTTCATCTCATGCCTGCATAGGAATTCATGATATTTTGTTCTCACCACAAGGAGCCCTGTTATGGACTGCAAGGCCTGCTTCCGCACGGAAACAGCAGGGTCCCGGCAACGATCCTGAAGAGTGGACAGATCTTCCGCGGTACAAGGGATCACTTTGTGCTTCAGGATGTTCATAAAAACCTGGAAGTCAAATATCAGCAAATATAACTTGGTTGAGAATACAGGCCACGCACGTTGGGTAGCAAATCAAAAAGACAATCTACCCCCTACCAACTTTAACTAGAGATTAATTTATCTCACTGAGAGTGAAACATCACATTAACAAGTTATGAATACTGGGCACAACCAGAGATGTAGAATGAAACAGAAAGCATCTTTTCAGTCATTATGATTTTATAACAGCATGTGGATAGAATGAATGTCACAATTTCCCCTCCAAAATAATGCGTCTCTTGTGTGAACCATGTCTTTTACCCGGTAATAAGGAAGAGGGGATTTTTATTTAAATCAAAAAGCATCAAAAGAAAACAATTGTAAAGCCTTAACTTGAGAGGCTCAAATCAGTATGTGAACTGAGGGGGACGAGTCGGGGTGAAGAGGCCTAACAGAGGAAGGCAGTCAACAGCAGATGTTTATTTTTTAAAATGATGAAATTCTCATCAAAGCAGATCTCTTTAAAAGCTAATGACTTCATTAAAAAAATTGAGCAACAGGCAAAGCAATGCATACCTCAAAAGGAGGCTGGATATAACCTAATCTCTTTGTTAACAAGGTCAAAACAAACTAAGCAGCTAATAAGCTTCAGTTTATAAGGAAGTCGCTTAATTGAAATGCCTATTGACATTTGAAAAGAGCCTCTCTTTCTAAATGACAGAATAAGAGAATGCCAGTAAGAGTACTAGAAAAATTTTCCATCATCATGCATGCATTATTTACTTATCAGGAATTAGCAAGTGAGGCCTTTTTAAGGCCTGTAGGCACTCTGCAGGAACAGCAGGAAGCTACAGGTGGGCTACAAGTTACATACAGTTCACTATAGGACTATGGTCTAATTATTTATTTTAATGGCATTCTGGGTAATCACCGAGAAGAGGGAATCATGCAAAAAACCACTGTACCTGGAGAGCAGATTTCCTCACGTTGGTTTTCTCATCTCTGGCTCTCAGTCTCAGCATGGCCATGACTTCTTTTCCTATCCGAAACCATGATAAAAAGAAATTACCCGCACCGATATTTAGCAGCGCTAACACGCTGAACACAGTGCAGCAGCAAGGAGGAATCCAGCTCTGAACTCAGCTGAGCAACGATTTACTGAGGGCAAGAGAGGAGGACTGAACAAAGCACAACAAAAACCCACCCAAAATAATTCAGAATGAGGTATAAGCCAGAGGAGAAAAAAACCCCCAAAACCCAACCATTTTTCCAAGTTCTTTCATCTGAAAATTTATCTTAGGACATAACAAAAGAAAGTGATACACCAAATCATTCGATACACGCAGCAAAAAGGAAAAAAAATAATCTGTAATTTCTGACCTGTTAATTTTTCTACATAAAAGATGTCAGGCTACCTTCACAGTTTGAAAGCTCATCAGATGAATCATGCACTGTTCTAACAAAAGGCTGTAGCGCAGGTAACCCTGCCATCCGTGGGAAAAGCGTGTTGAGGGCAAACCACAGACAAATGGATCCAACGCAGACCCAAGGTGGGTCAACAGACTTGTATGCCAAGAGCATCCAACCTTCTGTGAGTTGTGCCCGAGAGCTCCACGCGGTATAAAGTATTCATATACGAATGGCTGTGTTTTACAAAGTGGAAATTACTCCATTTATGAACTGTCTGAGTTCCTTAAGCCTGCAGGATGGCAGCTGCAAAGAAGAACCCAAGAGTCTACAAGGAAACCAGAAGACATCTCCCCTCCCTGAATGTCAAGTTAGGCCTCCAATTCTACTTTCTGTAATCATTCATACTTATTTCTGAATATCCTCGGGAAAAATATATAATTGAGATGATAGTTTATGAAATGACACACAAGTGAATACACAGAGCCATAATCAACTATTTGTCACATTTTTGAGTCATTCAAATGGACTAATGACGAGCTGGCGCTACTGATTTCAAGTGCTTTACCATTGCTTTTAAGGTTTCTATTTACTGCTGTTTGTGAGATTTCTTACAGCATTACATAAGATTTCCCAAATACATGCCGAATTTGGAGATCTGTTACTTAGAGAGATTCACGTGGAGATCCACTCTGTCGCCATTAAGAAATGGGATTAGTCACAGGGAACTAATCAAAAGTAGTTTGAAAATATTTTTTTACCAAAGGAAGCAAAAGGACTTTGATCTGTGCTTTCTTAACGGGCAGCTAACTGCAATCGCATCTTCCTCCTGAGAACAACTTGACAGAAAAAGCACAGAACCTTTTTATTGGAAGATTTTGCCATTAAAATAGCCCCGCTCTTGCGAAGATGACCAAATCTGCTAAAATAATTACACTTTGCCAACTGTCATTGATTTTACTCACAAAGATGTAGGGAAGAGAAATAAAACCCAACACAACAAACCACCAACCAAACAAAAAACCCGAGTTCTAAATGGCTGAGAACTACCAAGAGAAGATAATGTTTATATACTGTTGGGCAGCGGCAATTCTGCAGCGCATACTTCACCCTGCAGATTATCTCTACCCTCCTTATCTTTGCCCTTGTGCATTTTGCACGTTCTGACTATCCTCGGCTAAGATTTATTTTGCTTCTAAAACACGAGCCGTTTGGTCCTCACAGAAGTGCAAAATTAGCAGAGGCATAAGCCAGACACAAGCGTGTGCCAGACAGCTTTGCTAATGCACCTTGACTGACTCGGAGAGCCCTGTATTTCAACTATTCTCTTGAGCTCCAAACAGTCCTTTTTCATTCAATCCTTTTCTTAATTTGTTTTGCCAAGTGCCAAGTGTACGCTCAGCTGGGGATCGGATACAAAACCAGGCATCCTCTGCCACAAGGAGTCTGTGACTAAACAGGGAGTACACAATATCTTAAGTGGCCTGGAGGAGTTTTCTATCTGAGAGAGCAGATTAACGAAATTTATCAGCGAAATGTTTTAAAAGAAAGCTTTCAATGGAGAAGATTGGAGCCTGGCTCACGCAGATAGGGAGAGAGATCCCATGTGAAGAGCAGCATGAGACGTGTAACAAAGACTCAAATGCAGGATGTGGACTAAGGAGCAAATTGAATTGTCAGCAGTTCAAGAGAGGTGAACAGCAAGAATTGAGAGCAAAGATACTGGCAGAGGCCTAAAGGTTAGGAAGAAAAGCTTTTACACGGAAGAGGAAAAGAAAGGAAGAGATTCAAAGGAACATCGTGGCCACAAAAGCCAACTTTCATGCTGATTTCATGCTATCAACAGATTAGAACTAGCTGCTTGCCATTCTGCATCAGTCCATTTAACCTCACATTTTGCTTTCAACTCCAGCCAATACCTGATGCTGCAGAGAGCAAATTCTTCCCTACGTAACAGCACTCATCAAAAGTGCTGTGTTTTATGTGGCAAAAATACATCAGTTCTTTGTGCATTGGAGCAAGAGATTTAATTACCCTTAAGTTTATGGAGTTACAAGTACTATATCCCACATCAATTACCATCCTTTTTGGAAAGAATAAATTACCTGCTTTTCAACAAGTGTTGCCACCACATTAGTACAAACGAACGTCAGTATTTCAAGATTAAATGTATTTTTCAGACTTGAGTGGAAATAGTATTTCTTTATGGCTGGCACTTCCAACCCCTTCATCACACGTAAGTGATTTTTAAGAGCTCTACAGAAAGCTCTCTCCACTTTCTTTGAAAAATGGACAACGAATACAATGCAGAAAGTCTAATTTCAATTAAGGTTTTGGAAAGTGATCTGAAAAGGCTAGTTTAATTTTGACATACCATCAAGCACAGCAGTATCGTTGCTGTCTGTCAACTCAATAGTTTTGAAAGTTGGTAAGGTCTTCAGTGGATGGTTGGACATACCTGAAAGAAAAGTTAAAAGTTTAAGAATAAAAAAAGGCCTAAATTCACTCAGTGAGATGGTTCACTGTTAAACAGAGAGCCTCATGCACACCCTAGGTTTTACGGATAGGCATATTTTTAGAAACTGGCATGCCAAGAAAAGCCTGAGACTTACTATAAGAATATGACTCTATACCTTCTGCACTGACTATCGAACTCGCAGTGATCATGTTTGCTTCCAAGACTGTATGGTCAGAGCCTGCCAAAAAGAAATAAAAAAAGAAATTAAATGAAGTATTTTAATTCCAGATATTCTGTCATTCCAAATTTTTTTCAGGCAAGTCATCTAACCGTAGGATGCTATGTGCATGCTTCTGAATTGTGCCATCTGGCCTTTACCACACCTGAGGGAGTTCAGAATGCCAATCACGAACAAAACAACTGAGCAGAAGCAAAAAGTGACTCAAGATTTAATCAACTGCCAGGCAAGAATCAACTTTTTTTTTTTCCCTTCCAAGGAGCAATTTCAGTGGTCTGTAAATATCCTTCAAAGGTATCTCATGGAGGAATATAGTTAGAACCAATATACGAGAATAAATCCCTTCCAAATATAAGGCTTCATGAGTAACGAGACTCATCTATTACTTCTCAATATGACACAATACACAAGGACACTATGTGCAGATTTTTAAGTTCCTGACAGCTAGTTCTCCTATTTCCTCACTAATTACTCCCCAGAACGTTCAAGAAATATTTTCACTATCTAATTTATCCATAATACTTACAGCTTTGTAATAAGTCCAGTATACTCTCCAAGGTAGCAGCAGCTTTCATTTCGAGACAGTGGGCAAAGCTGCTTAAAGCTTTGCTACGGACCACAGGTGCTTTGTCAGAACATCGGCCAAACACCATGACCTGTACTAAAAACTTATGCTTTAGAAACTTCTGATGATCCAGGGACAAGGAGCTGTCCAAGTTCCTCTCTGGCACATCCAACAAAGCTAACGCTACATCAAGAGCAAACACTCTGTAGGCAATCTGTTCGGGAGAAAAAGCACAGAAGGCGCTCTGTTAACGTGAGTAAAGACACGGACATCGCCAACTCAGTTTACCCACCTCTAGGTACCAGCAATAACAATGCTATTCAGTACCGATATTGAACCCTTCGCCTTCAAAATACTGTTATATCTGAACCCTGGAACATCAAGGAGACGTGCTTACTTTAGAGTTGCGTGAGTATTTATAAAGCCAAGCGATGAAGTCAGCAAACTCTATAGAAGGGAGTTTATTCAGCAAATTCACCAAGGCCTGTGCGGCATATGTGCGATAATCAGTCTTATCTGGGACCTGAAAAAACAAGGGCAATCACATGAGATGATATTTTGATGCTCTGCTCTAGAAGCCAGGATGGCATTTCAGGGCTTAAGAAAAGTATTTTTTGATTTAATGAGGCAATATGGTCATACTCAGCAATGACTGGAAGAAGAATCACAGCTTCCTTGGTCACTACTTCAGCACTCACCCACAGTCACACAGCAACCTCCCCAAGGCAAAGGTGGAGCTTAGATTAAATCCAGAGGCAGTATTTCTACATGGCAGTCTTCAGATAGCTCTCTAATCCTCATTTTCCTCTACCAAAACAGTGGTAAACTGGCAAATTTTGTAAAGGTCACAAGTAGGGTACAATTAGTTGGGAATGAGGGGGGAAGTGTTCACCCTCAGTATTCTCCTGCTACTAGTAGGAGTGACAACTATTTTTAAGGCGTCTGAAAACTCTGATAAAGATCAAAACAAAACACAATCAGGCTGTCAAGAAAATTGCAAACGATGAAAATATTTTCATTCCTTAGGAAACCGTGAAAAGGGATTTCCAAACTATTACAGATACTGCAACGTATCCACACATAAGTTCTTCAGCTCAGGATTCAACAAAGTGTAGCATACCTTGGTACAGATGTGTTGCAGCAATATTCGAAGAACAGGAAAAACAACTTCTTTCAGCTCATCTACTACAGAACTGCACAGAAGAAAAGCAGATTTTAATAAGGCTGGTTCTATAATAGAGCAAAAATCAAGTCAAGGACATTCCTTTCGGAATGCATTTCAAAACTTGGCTTTACAGGCACAAAAACATTTCTTCCAATACCTTTCTACAAGCAGAAGTACAATATGAAAAGCTTCTTCATTCTCACTCTACTTACTATACGTTGCCTGGGGATCTCTGCACAAACCACACTTTCCAACAATGTGGATCCCCACACCCAGGGAATAACAGACACAGGCAAAACATATTGTTAAGCAAGAGAAAACAAAGAACTAAGGAGAAACGAGGTCCGTATTAATCTTTTATCTTCTTTACAATGCTTTGTAGTAAACTACAAGACCTGAAAAACTGACACAAAGCAGAACACAGAAGGCCCCTTCCACTCACTGCCACTTTTCTGTCAAACAGCACCTTCTTTCCCATCTGCCAGCAAGTTCAGTAAATTCCCATCACAGACATTTTAATTAAATCTCATTTGCACAAACAACTTCAAAGTCAGTGCCAGTTTGTCCCATCCCTTTATCAGCTAAACAGTAAAGCGAAGGCATGCCAGAAGAAAGAGCAGACGTAGGCAGGAAGGGCAGTGCCAGAGTTCTGTACTTCACCTGATGAATTTTATAGCTTGATTCCTGGCACTGATCACAGCCGATGTGATTGCAAGGACTGCGCATCTGGAACCCGCACCACCTTCCCGCATAAGAATGACATTGAGGATTTGCTGGAAGACACTACGAAGAATCTGGGGCGGGAGTGGGGGGAGGGAAAAAAAAAAAAAGGTTATTTTCAGGTTCATTTCCATAGCAACTGGAGCCCACAGATGAGCATTCTGACCAGGTTTACGAAGTTATTCTGAACCAAACAAATAATAACACCTGCTAAAGCATGACTCCTGGCAGGATATCTCAAAGATGACTCATCAATGCACACAACATCTTTCCTAGCTGTGGCGTTCTCGTACAAGTTCAGTAAGGCCTAAGCAGGGCTTCCTGGCAACATCAACAGATCCCCTTCAAAGCAGTGGACTTCAGCTCACCAGAAACATTTGGAATCTGAGGAAATTCATTGGGTTTTGCACAGGAGACATCTTAAACTAAATGCATGTTTTTTACCACCATGTGCACTTGAACTTTTGAAGCTTCCTCCCTGCCGCACTTTTGGGACCACAGCACGCCTCATTATCCTGACATTCACCGAGCAGGATTCAAACAGGAGAGGCAGGGAAGGTGAGGCGGTCTGAGAAGGGGAGCTACTACATCTTCCTGATACCGCAAACGTCAACAATTCTGCAAAGCCTATGCTGTGCTGAGACCAAGGAGGTTGAAACACACAGGTCTAAGGCTGCTGAAGCTGGGCAGATACGCACATATACGTCAGGCCAGCGTGTACTAAGCTCCAGGCTTTCCTGACTAGACAGCTGCCCTGCCCTGCTAGCTCAGAACTAGTTCAGATAGGTTTACACAGACTCACAAACACAGCGGCGCAGTCACACCCAAAGTTCAAAAGCCCCGTCCATCGGAGCAGCACACAGATAAGTGGGAGATGACACAGTGCGCTCGACAACAAAGTAAAAATGTAAAGCTGCAGACACTTTTCTGGTGGAACTGGATGTTCCAAGACGACAGACTATTCTCTGAATAAGAATCAACCCTGCTTGCCATCAGCTGCACATAACACTTCCCCATCATGCTTCACAAGCTGCCAAGCAGTGCTGGAGCTCCACCTAGCAGGAAACAAGAAAATTCCAGGCAAATGCAGCAACCTGGAACTCTGTTGTTTTTTTTTTTTTTTTAAGAAACAGAAATCTAATGCCACTATAGCTATCCTCAGTTTTCGATTTATTTGCCACAAGAGTGACTAGAGCACAGAATTCAATGCACACGAAATGCATCCTCATACAAGTCAAAGGAAATAAGGACTGGGGTGGAAAAAAGCATCTTGCCCCTGACCCAACAAACACACGCACACACACACACAAAAAAAGTAAAACTAATGTAATAAGTAAAGAACGTGCAAGCAAAAATGATGTGCAGAGAAGGACAACTAGTCCTTTTCAATACAGCAGTGAGGATTTTAAAGATTTTGTCCAACTTCTACCTTATCTTCTGGACCATGTAGAGGGGAACACAGTAATCGCAGTCCATGATAGGCCAGTTCGGGAATGTACTTGGCTTTGTTAACATTCCTAAGCAAAAGAAGGCAAAGAGACATCTTCATCTCTCATCAGATAAACATTTACAACTATTACAACTAAACGTGCTCATTGACTGGAAAACATTTAATATTCACTAAATGTTGTTTATTGTTAGCTAGGTGGAACACATTCTAATTATCTTCAGTGAAAAAAAATCACTGCTTTCATTTTTGTACAAACAGGGTAATAACAACCCCAGCATCGAGCTCTTTACTTGCCCATAGCACAGTATAAACATTAAGAATAACTCGCTCACATTGCTGCTGAAAACTCGAACTCGGGTACTGCTGGCTCAAAGTTTGTCATTTCAACCAAAATCTGCAAGGAAAGAAAGCCAAGCTTAGCTAATTCACACGAGGCAAAGATGCGCAGGTCTGCTCGGGAGGCCGACCACAGAGAACTTGAGTCTAACTTTCAAACCACAGTACCTCCCTTGAAGGTGAACCCCAAAGCCCAGAGACTGCACATCAGTTCGCATCTTCCCCCAGGGTATAGTGAGGGTTAAGCACCTCGGAACAAAACTCGAACTGCCGAGTCAGACCTTGCTCCAAGATTTACACCGACAGTCTAGTCAGGGGACCGGTTTATGAAAGGCAGGGCTGCCATCACTCCTGTGGCTACGGAGTGCTCTGCATCCCCCAAAAGTCTGTGTTAGGGGACATATGGTTCCTTGAGCTGAATCTTGTTACCTGCAGGCAGTTCTGCATACACTGAGGTTTTTCTTTTAGGGGAAACTTAGGCAGAAGTCGTAAGAAGTTTTTCAGAAGAAGGAAGATCGCGTTGCGAACTTGAAGAAGATCGTCAGTTGAAAAGTAAACATCTTCACAATCCTCTTCCTCCTCCTCCTCCTCTTCCAGCATCTCTTCCATCTATATTGGCAAAAAAGAGAAAGAGCACCATCCTGTCCCGCAGCACTGGATGATCTTTTTTGCATGTTTCGGTGCTTCACAGTTCTCAGGCTAGGTCTTACTGATTTCACATCCAAAATTCTAAATCTTTTCTTTCAGATGAATTAACGCATTTAACAGTGGGGAAAAAAACCCAATCAAAAACCAGACAGAAAGATGGATGCTGGGTACAAAAAAAAAAAAAGCAAAAAGCTCCAAAAAAAAACCACCTCCCGTTTTGAAGGATAAAGTCCATCAGGACTGAAGACAATTATTTGAATTCTAATCTGACACTTGGAGACTCACTTCAAGTAATTCCCATTGCACCTATGGAAGAACCCTTGCTTGTCATGGCCCTACGGCACTGATATTCTCTCAGAATTCCTGATGTGTAATCCTCAGTTCTGTTAAAAACCCAACATATAAATGTTAGAACTTGCAGCCGAGTACAGCGAACCAAAGCATTCAGTCCTTAACTTCCCACCAGTAAATTGGCAAGGAAATGCAAATGCCATTAGCAAGCCAGTCACATACTAACTTGAAGGTCTCTTGAAGAAGCCGGTATAAATTAGTTTCTCTCTCTGCTACTGAGCTTTCTAATACTATGACACAGACAAATAAAGATGTATTTTTTCTATTAGTCAGCAGCCAGGAAACTGCAGCTAACGTTGAATCATCAGACCTCTGAAATTCCTAATAATAGGTAGGGGATCAAGAACACAGCTGAACTCCTGAACAGAAGGTTAAGAATGAAAAAACGGGTGAAAAAGAGGAAGAGTATCACACTGAGCTAGAAGTGAAACAGCTTGCCATCAATTTGCTTGTTAATAGAGATTTATAGCTGAAAAGCACACAAACACCTTACATTGCTGTTCCTGTGTGGTTTTCCTTTCTTTCTGTTTCTTCTTGCATTGGTCTGAGAGCTTTGAGCGTGCGTCTTCTTTCTTTTCCTCAGCAGTTCTGGTTCTCGAGGCCAACTTTTCGTCAGGGTGTGAAGACATTTATCAAACATCACTTGATGGAACAGCTGGTTAGCCACGCTGCCTGCCCAGAAAAGACACTATCAGCCATCTTCCAGACAAAATACAGAGAGAGCATCAAATCATCCGGCTATTTCTCCATTTGCTCTGACAGCCAAATGGACGGCCAGGACCAAAGCATTGTCCTGGGAGCCTAAGAGAGTTCAGGAAAAGAGAAAAGAATTGTTTGAGCAAAGCCAAACTGCATCAGGATGACATGTCATCAGCGATGACATTCTCCAGTAGGATCACCAGCTGATTGTCCCCTTCTAGCTGGTCATGTGCTGCACAACAACGATCAGCAAAATTTAGAGTATGCGTTAGCCTTGAGTACAAAAGGCTACTGGTGTGAATTAACCTGCTGGAAAACTCCAACTGCTGGTTATTTTAAACAAATGCTTTTGTTTTCACAAATGAACCTGTCCAAAAGCACGGCACAGTGAAATCCTCTCTAGTTACAGAGGAGGAACGGGAATAAGCTTCTGCCTTCACCGCGTATTATTGTCACACCAGAGGGATACGCGTGGTTCCAGCTCTGCGCACCGTTCAGGCTCTTCTGTCGACCTACTAAGAAGACGCATGGCAACGCCAACCCGGACCGAGACCATCAAACCGCTTTACAACGGGAGACCAAGCTGCCACCAGACCGTAACCGCCGCTCAGCGCTCACCGCCACGGCCGAACGTGATCCCCAAGGATTTCAGGGAGATCAAGTGAACAGTTCAAAACCCATCGCTCGTTCCACCCGGGATTTTTATAAATGAGAGAAAGCTGATTTTGCCTGAACAATGTCTTACCCAACGAGACGGAGGCACGTCCCTTCGCTCACCTGGGATTTCCAGCAGTAAGAAGTACAACCCAGCCGCGTGAAGAGCGTAAACCCTCTGCTGCGCGTTAGCTCTTTTATGCTGGCCCGCTTGGACGAAGTGATGCAACACGGCGACGAGAGCATTCTGAGGGGAGCTGTTTGCAGCAAACAAGGTCCAGATATTCTGAGGCAAAACAGGGGAGTGAGCAATCCTGCAGTAACAGCTAACAGGAGCTACTACTCACATTTTAACACTTGCCGCTGCAACCAGCCCCCTATATATGTTAAAATATGGGTTAATAATTATAGCGTATATACGTGTAACTTGTATTACGTTATATTAAGCTATAAACGTATTTTTTTCCACTTGGGAATAGCGGCGTTCCGGCGCAGTTTTGGAATAGTTTGTAAGTTCCCGGGCAGGCCAGAGCAATCGCCCTCACCTCCCTGTTCTCGTGATCCTCCGCGGCGAACGGCGACAGAGACCGGTAGAGCCGGGTGAAAACGCCGGGCCCGTCTTCCGCGATCTCCTCCGCCACCCTGGAATCCAGAGGTTCGGCCTCGGTGAAATCCAGCTCCCAGACCGCGCTCACCCAGACTGAGGGAAAAGGAGTTCGTGAGCACCGGACGCGACGCGACGCGACG